CCCCAAAACCCCAAAACCCCAAAACCCCAAAACCCCATATAAGGTCTATAGTATTGAAAGCAAATCAATAAAATGGGTAAGGACTTTATAAATAACAAGGCTCTTTTCTAAAACTAGTTTCATTCAGAATTCTGCCAAACCTCTTCTCGACAATAGTAGAATTAACTTTTTGACTATAGACAAGAGTGAGAGTTTTATGGAGAAGAAAGAAGCATTCGGTAATTAGAAAAATTAATAGCTAGATAATATTTATGAATCGAAACCTTATACGTCACCTAAGCTAAATGAAAAAGAAAAGACTATTATTAATATCAAGGTTGAGGGCATCAGTAGTGTCAGTAGTCAGGAAGAAATTGACCAAGTGGATCATTGAAATGGGATGTTCGACACTCTTAGTAAGAAAATCCCGGATATTGAAATTAAGTCCCGTGTTGTACGTAATTTTAGTAACATAAAATAGAACCCTGATAATCAAAAATGGAAGCCAAGATCAAGTAAGAATTAATAGTCTAATTTTGTAGAGTCTATTTTGATTACCAATACTTTTATCCGGAATACTCAGAAATCTGAAAATCCTTCAAAAACCCTATATTCTCAGAAATCAATAGGAAGAGAGCAAAGAGTACCGAATTTAGCCTTGCAAAACCTGAAGCCTTGTTTTCCAGCCCAGAGTTCTTCCAAAAAGGAGGCATATAGTGGGATGGAATCTTCAGGATCCTCTCAGGTTAGAGTAAACCAATACAGCGTAGATCAGTCGACTGGGACTCGGGTGAGCAAAGAGAGGCTGAAATTAAAGACGTTACAGATGCGATCTACTGAGTTCTTACAAAAATGCTCAAATGTGATAAAGATTCCTTCAATTTCAAGGATAAAACTTAACAGGCAGTTTTCAAAGGAACTTACTGATAATAAAGGGATAACAAACCCTAAGCTGTTACATAAAATGGATAATAGCATTAAGGTCATCAGGGAGAAGACAAGAAAGATTAAATCTATCAACTTTGTCAATAAACCTGGTAAGTGCTTAACCTCAAACCTTATCCAAACACCTCTAAATTTTATCATATTGGTGCTTATGCTAATTACTAAATCTTGTTTCATGTTTTTCATGACACTTTTATGCCAACTCTCGGATTCGTCATAATAGTACTAACTCGTACTAATAATATCAGCCTCAGAAATTTGAGAGAGTTTATGCATCCTCAAGCATTATGCTCAAGATGCAGATTATCGAGAGAAACCATTTGTGATCATTCTTACGATAATAAGTTGAATTTAGTACATAGAGCTGCTAATATAATTTCAAAAATTCTTGGTTAAAATATGTAAATCATCTTTCTTATGTAAACTTCCCAATATCTGCAATACTTTTCCATCAGACCAGCTTAAATACTTCATTTTTATGGGCAATTTAAAGCTGCGAAATAAGTGATTATAAAAGCTTTACCACACTATTGGTAAATATTATTGGAACCATTTATTCTTCTGAAGCACAAAGTGGACTTTTCAAATGATGGTTCTTCTTTACCTAAATTAATGTGTGTTATTTTTGGACTTTATAACCCTGAATTACTAATATTTTGTATAGATGCTCAGAGAAGAGTCTCCATTCAGAGTTTTATGGGAAGAAGAGTAAGGGAAGTTTATGAATTAGTTATAGAATTTGACAACTCTTCCTAGAAATTTAACCAAGAATTTTAAATCAAATATCTATACTAAGCACGAGAAAGAGAAATCATTGGAAGATGACTTTTCGATTGGAGCAAAGGAGGAAATTACAGAGGGAGACTCTTTGATTGCTTCTAATATTTCCTGGCCTAATATCTTGCAAACTGTGATTACTTCCATCCTCAACAAAGACGATAAAATAAAGCCTAAGCAAGCCCTTGATGAAACTAATATTGGTTGTCTTCTAAATCTTGGACCAGAATGAAGCAATGAGAGTGTTAGTCTCTTTGATGATCTTTCATTGGAGGATCTAACCTTGAGATGGGCTCAATACCAAATCCAACAAGCTAGGGTTTCACTTTGAAAGAAGATCCAGGATCTCAAATACCACTATACTAACAATAGTAATCCTTTTGAAAAAGCTTCTATTGATGAAAATATTAAAAACGTCACTAAATTAGCAGATTTTTGAAAGGCTCAAGAAATGTATTCCTTCAGAGATCTTGAGAACCTTCCAGAACTTGTCTTGTGCATCTTTTACCAGGTTGGGCTGAAGAAATTAACTAAAGTTTTGAGTAAGACAGCACCAGGTACAGCTAATGCGTGATTATTCATATAGTAAAATGCCATTGAAGCCATATATGTCCTCATAAAATGGATCAGTTCTCTCCAATTTGAATAGATGATATCCTAAACATAGACTCAATGAGGGAAAAGAGTCTCTTATTCCAAAAGATATCTTACCCTGACTTGAGAAAAACTTCCAAATCGCTATGATTTGACTCCGAAAGCATCGACATTGAAAGATTTTGTGTCAGTAAGTGTAAATATCCTGACTTTAGTCTTAAAAAGTGTATGAATTAGGAAGAGCACATCAGTACCTACTTCAAAGCATCTTTTTATGAAGCTGCTCTTCCTCTTGTTATCTCCAGAGTATTGCAAGCTTCCTAAGATGTCCACATCTAGGTTAAGGAAGAATAATGGGGAAAGATCTCTTAAGTCATATATCCTCTCTTGGTTTTCCAAAAACTTGTAATTGAAAGGTAAACAAGACTAAAACAATATTTCAATTAATTTTAGTCGTGTTCTTTTTAACTAGACAATTTGAGCTATGCTTCAGTCTTCTGTTTTGCATCTTTGTGTCAGAGAAATTAAGACCAACTCTAATCATTTACTATAGAAGCCAAATTTAGGATCTGAAGATGGAGATTAACCAAGAATTTGCCCCATACCTGAGATAACTCAAATTTTCAATGAAATTTCAGCATAAAGGGGTTTTGGGGTTTTGGGGTTTTGGGGTTTTGGGG